CAAAGGACTTAAAATCAGCATAGTGTAGTGATGCAGCCACATCAATGTTTATAGCAACTTAATTCACAATAACTAAGCTATGGAACCAACCTAGGTGCCCTTCAACAGATGAATGGATAAAGAAAATATGTTATATATACACAATGGAATATTACTGAGCCATAAAGAATGAAATCATGGCATTTACTGGAAAATGGATAGAACTGAGATTATCATGCTAAGTGAAATAAGCCAAACCCAAAAAACTAAAGGCTGAAATGTTCTCTCTGATATGTGGATGCTAACAGACAATAAGGGGTTGGGGAGAGAAGAATAGAAGTTCATTAGACGAAAGGAAGGGAGGGGACATGGAAATAGGAAAAACAGCAGAATTAATTGGACATAATTTTCCCATGTTCATATATGAACACACGACCAGTGTAACTCCACATCATGTATAACCACAAGAATGGGAACTTATACTCTACATACCTTTATTTTATTTATTTTTATGTGGTGCTGAGGATCAAACCCAGGGCCTCGAACGTGCTAGGCAAGTGCTCTACCACTGAGCCACGACCCCAGCCCCTTGGGTTGATTTTTTGCTGGTTTGGTAGATGGGAAATATATCAAAGCTTGGTTTCAATTTGCTTTTTTTAAAATATTTTCCTTTCTTTTTAAAAATTATTTATTATTTATATATTTATTTATTCATCTTACAGTAGAATGCATTTTGACATATAGTACACAAATGGAACACAACTTCTCATCGCTCTGACTGTTCATGGTTCAGAATCACCTTAGTAGTGTAACCATACATGTATATAGGATAATAATGTCTGCCTCTTTCTACTGTCCTTCTCACCCCCTCAACTCCACCCCTCCCCTCTACACAAACCAAGTATCCTTCATTTTCCCCTATCTCCTTGTCCCACTATGGCTCAGCATCCATTTATCAGAGAAAACATTTAGCTTTTGTTTTTTTGGGATTGACTTATTTCACTTAGCATGATATTCTCTATTTCCATTCATTTACCTGAAAATGCCATAATTCCATTCTTTTTTAAGGCTGAGTAATAGTTTATTCTGTATATGTACCACATTTTCTTTATCCATTCATCTATTGAAGGGCATCTAGGTTGGTTCTATAGTTTAGCTATTGTGAATTGAGCTGCTATAAACATTGATGTGGCTCTTACTGTAGTATGCTGATTTTAAATCCTTTGGGTATAAACAGAGGAGTGGGATTGTTGAGTCAAATAGTGGATCCATTCCAAGTTTTCTGAGGAATCTCCACACTGTTTTCCATACTAGTCGCACTAATTTGCATTCCCACCACCAATATATGCATGTACCTTTCCCCCCCACATCCTTGCCAACAGTTATTATTGCTTGTTTTCTTGATAATTGCCATTCTGACTAGAGTTGAGATGAAATCTTAGAGTAGTTTTGATTTGCATTTCTCTAATTGCTAGAGATGAACATTTTTTTTCATGTTTGTTGAACAATTGTATTTCTTCTTCTGTAAAATTTCTGTTCAGTTCCTTAGTCCATTTATTGATTGGGATTGTTTGTTTGTTGATGTTAAGTTTTTTGAGTTCTTTATATATCTTGGAGATTAATGCTCTGTTTGAGGTGTGTGTGGTAAAGATTTTTCTCCCATTCTGTAGGCTGTTTCCTTTGCTGAGAAGAAGCTGTTTAGTTGAATCCATCCCATTTATTGATCCTGATTTACTTTTTGTGCTTTAGGAGTCTTGTTAAGGAAGTCAAGTCCTAAGCCAACATGATGAAGATTTGGGCCTACTTTTTCTTCTATTAGGCTCAGGGTCTCTGTTCTACTGTGTATTTGATCCACTTTGAGTTGATTTTTGTACAGGGTGAGAGAGGGAGCGGTTCAATTTCATTCTGCTACATATGGATTTCCAGTTTTCCCAGCACCATTTGTTGAATATACTATCTTTTCTCCAATGTGTGTTTTTGGCATCTTTGTCTACTATGAGATAACCATATTTATGTGGATTTGTCTCTGTGCCTTCTATTTTGTACCATTCATTAGTCTACATGTCTATTTTGGCACCAATACCATGCTGTTTTTGTTACTATTGCTCTGTAATATAGTTTAAGGTCTGGTATCGTGATGCCTTCTGCTTCACTTTTCTAACTAAGGACTGCGTTGGCTATTCTGGGTATCTTATTTTTTTCAAATGAATTTCATGATTGTTTTTTCTAGTTTTGTGAAGAATGTCATTGGGATTTTTATAGGAATTGCATTAAATCTGCATAACAGTTCTGGTAGTATGGCCACTTTGACTATATTAATTGTGCCTATCCAAGACTATAGAAGATCTTTCCATCTTCTGAAGTCTTCTTCAATTTCTTTCTTAGTGTTCTGTAGTTTTCATTGTAGAGGTCTTTCATCTCTTTTTTTAATATTTGTTTTTTTTGGGGGATGTAGATATACATAATACCTTTATTTTACTTATTTATTTTTATGTGGTGCTAAGGACCAAACCCAGGGCTCTGCACATGCTAGGTGAGTGCTCTACCACTGAACCCCAGCCCCAGCCCTCTTTCACCTATTTTATTAGGTTAATTCCTAAGGTTTTTTTTTTTTTTTTTTTAGGCAATTGTGAATGGGGTAGTTTTTAGAATTTATCTTGCAGTGGATTCATTGCATATGTATAGAAATGCATTTAACTTATGGGTATTGATTTTATATCCTACTTTGCTGAATTCATTTAATGGTTCTATAAGTTTTCTGATGGAATTTTTTGGATCTTCTAAATATAGAATCATGTCATCAGCAAATAGTGGTAGTTTTGAGTTCTTTTCCTTTTAAAAAATTAAAGAGTATCCCTTTAATTTCTTCCGTCTGATTGCTCTAGCTAGAGTTTCAAGGACTATGTAAAATAGAAATGGTGAAAGAGGACATCCCTGTCTTGTTCCAGTTTTTAGAGGGAATGCTTTCAATTTTTCTCCATTTAGAATGATGTTGGCCTTGGGTTTAGTATAGACAGCTCTCACAATGTTGAGGTATATTCCTATTATTTCTAGTTTTTTTAGTGTTTTGAACATGAAGAGATGTTGTATTTTGTCCAGTGCTTTCTCAGCATCTATTGAGATAATCATATGATCCTTGTCTTTAAAGTCTATTGATGTGATTAATTATAAACATAAGTTTATTGATTTCCATATGTTGAACCAACCTTGCATCCCCATCAATTTGCTTTTCCCTTATTACTCTGGGCATCTTTTCTGAGAAATATATTTTGTGCATTTTTCTACAGACTTGGAATTTTCCTTCCTAGTCTGATACTATAGACACACACACACCCGTTTATGATATAAGTTGTAAATAGTTTTTCCAAATTGTCATTTCTTTATTTTCCTCATTTTTTTTGCCATGAAGTTTATAATTTATTTATTTTTGGGGGCACTGGGGATTGAACCCAGGGGAACTCTACCCCTGAACTAGATCCCCTGATCTTCTCATTTTTATTTTTGAGATAGGGTCTCGCTAAGTTATGCAGGCTGGTCTTAAACTTGCAATCCTCCTGTCTCAGCCTCTGAAGTCTCTGGACTACAGGTGTGCACCACTGTGTCTAGCGCAAGTTTATTTTTATGTAATCAATTCTGTTAATATTTTCCTTGATTGTGTCTAGATTTTGTCATATTTAGGAAATTTTGATCAACTTCTAGTTCATAAAGGAATTCACTGTCTTGAAGCTCATATTTCTATCTGAGGGAGAAAAAGGATAAAGTAAAATACATTGTATGTTAGAAGACGTACTAAGGAAAAAAATTAAGTAGGATGGGTGGATAAAGACCCTGGTGTTTAGAGTTCATGAGGGAGGTGGGGGTTGGGACCTGTGATAGGAGGGCGTGCCAAGACCCAGCTGTGGCAGGGGCATGTTAAGGATTGTGAAGAGGAAAGCGACATGTCATGACCAGGAAACAGTAGCCATGGAAAGGAGGAAAATTGGGAATGGGGTTGCTCTGGAGAGGAGTTGTGAGGAGGAAGGTGAGTAGCAAGTTTCAAGATCATAAAGGTGTCAAGTCTCCCTAATTTGTAAATTAGTGCACTACCAATGAAACTACCAGCTGTTTTTGTTTTTCTTCTGGCACTCGACATGTTAAGTATAAAGTTTGTTTTATTTGGAAGAAAAAAGTAGCAAGAAGAGACAGGGAAACCTTGAAAAATACAAGCCCAAGAGGACAATCTCTTGTTTCAGAGACTAAAATGTATTACAAAAACTTTATAATGAAAATCCCGTGGCAGTGGCACAATAGGGTTAGATACACACAGGTCTGGAAAGAACCCAGACACAATTTGATTAAGTGTGGAAATTTAGTGTATGGAAAGGTGATGTTTCAAGTCAGTGGCAGGAGTTTTACTTTATCAATGGAAGAATAATCCACACAGCAAAATTCCCGGGCTTTAAGAGAGCACAAATCCTGCTACCTAGGAAGTTTCCTCATCTCCACATTTGGTCGCTGCCACCTGCCCCTTTTTCAGAGGCAACTGCTTCTCTGACTGGGAATTTTTAGCAAGTGCTAAAAATATGGGATATATGCAAAATAAGACCATATTGAAGCTGTTTGCCAGGATAAATTCCAAATGGCTCAGATTTAAATGTGAAAAAAAAAAAAAAAAAGAAATTTTAAAAACTTAGACTATCTATCTCCTGACCCCATCCCCACTCCCATGGCACTGGGTTCCTCAGTGGCCCTCACACCAGCACATTCTAGTGGACACTGCAGCCTCCACCTGCAAACCCTTCCTGAGGCTCAAGTGACTCCGCATACCACAGTGCAGTTCCCTAGCACCTAGAGAAGGTGCTCAGTTATATTTTCTTGAGAGGGAAAGTGATGGACGGACTTTAAAGGGTACCTGGAGTATGGTCCATAGTATGCTATTCTCTTAGCTTTGGTTGAATGAAAGGACAAGGACAAGGGAATTGAGAGGAGCAGTGGAGCAGCCTGAGGGGAACTACGGGATAGAGACAAGGGGCTACAAATTCTGGCCATGCTTTCTTTTCAATGTTTTATTGGGGGATGTGAGGTGTTGGGGTGAACAAATGTGAAATTCTTGATTCTGGTTTGAAGCCCCTCTTTTTTTTTTTAATACCTTTATTTTCCGGGCCCCGCTGGTGCTAGGCGAGCGCTCTACCGCTGAGCCACAATCCCAGCCCCTTGAGGCCCCTCTTCATCTGCACAGCTGTTGCAAAGCTCCCTGGGCCTGGACCCAGCGCAGCCGCCACTGGGGCAGGGACAGGCCCTGGCAGAGCTCCCCGGAGAGGGTGGCTTGGCCTGGCTGCTCCCACCTGGGAAACGGCATAGTGTCAGAGGGAAGGCCAGCCTTCTGACCCGCTCTGGCCTTCCACCATCATGACCTGCGTCTTCACTTTCCACCAGGCTTAGTTCCCTCCCTCTCTGTGCCAGCCTCTCACCAGTCTGACAGGACTCCCTGCAGTTTAGGGACTCGCTCCAGTGCCTGTTTCAGCAAGTTCTCCAGCCTGTTCAGAGCCTGCCCCAGGTTCTCCTTCTGTTCCTTTTCCTGGGATGCCTGGATCTGCAGCAGCTCTGGAGGTTAGAAACCAGGGAGGCAGCTTTGAGGCCTCTGGCTTGCTGGAGCCTTGCAGCCAATAGGTCACCAAGTCTGCAGTCACCCAGTCTTGACCCCAGCATCTCTCCCAAACCTGTCCCTCTTCCTAGGTCCTCATGTCAGGGCAAAACCCCCCATCTCCACCAGGTCTCGTCCTGGATGCCTTCTTCCCTACCTTCATCAGGTCATGGCCACCCATTCAGCTTCCAAAGTTCATGTTTTTTGTCTCTCATTCCGTTTTTTGTTTGTTGTTTTTGCAGTACTGGGCATGGAACCCAGGACCTCGTGCATGCTAGGCAAATGCTCTGCCACTGAACTACAACCTCAGCCCATGTTTACTGAGTTTATTTCTCCTGTCTTCTTACTCCACTCTCAGCCTCCCTCATATTCCAGGCCTCAGTCTCTTACTCTGGTCACATTTCAGAGCACCAACCTGGCACCCATGACCGGGCAGTCATAGTCATCTTTCTGAAGCCTGAACCTGATCCTCTCTTTTTCCTGCTTAGAACGTTTCCCTAGGCCCCCCAAAACAGAGTCCAAGTCTTCAGCCTGGTATTTGAGTCTATATTATGTGGCCCCTGCTCACTATCCTTGGAAAAAAATCTGACCCAATCCCAAGGCCTGTGTGAGATACCATTTTCCCTTAGGCAGCCCTTTTTCTTTAGCATCCCTCATTGCAAGGCTTTCTCCTCAGCCTTCTCCAGTCTTAACTCTTGTGGTATTTCTCCCTAGGACTATGACTGGGCCTAGCCCCTCTTCATGTGCCCAGCTCAGAGCAGTTATAGATTATTAGCATGAGCAGATCTCTTGAGCCTGAATCCTGACTCCATCCTGCCTTACCTATGACCTTGATCATGATTCTTGTCCTTACTTTAGCTATATCTGTTGGTAAGTGGACTTAACTGAGTCATAGGTTTGTGGGGCAGGAAGCAGATTGGAGAGAGCTCTGGCAATTGGACCCACAGGGCTTGTTGACAGGTTTGAGGGCAGGTTGGGATCTGGGAGGAATTAAGGACAACTGCTCTGTTTTTAGCTCAAGCACCTGATGAGGAGGGTGGAATAATATACTGACAGGAGGAAACCAGGAAGAAAAGAAATAGAATTGCTCTTTGGAGTAGAGGGAAGTTATAGATATAAGGTTCAAGATGACCATGAAGTTGGGCATAGTGGCACATGTCTGCAATCCCAGTGGCTTGGGTGGCTGAGGCAGGAGGATCACAAATTCAAAGCCAGCCTCAGCAACTTAGTGAGGCCCTAAGCAACTTAGTGAGACCTTGTCTCTAAATAAAATATAAAAAGTGGTGGGGATGTGGCTCAGTGGTGAAGCACCCCTGGGTTAAATCCCTGGTACCAAAACAAATAAACAAACAAACAACAACAATAAAAAACCCCACAAAAAACAAAACCCCAAAACAACAACAAAAACAATGCTCATGAAGTAGGGACATGCTGTGATGTGTCTTGAACTGTTCTTATTTTTCCTATACACTGTTCCTTTTCCTTGGGGTGAGATGGAAGGCAGGGAGACCCAAACTCAAGGGTCTGAAAATGGTTTCTTCCTACTTGCCTGATGGTGTCCCTAATTCATCTCTCATCAATTCACCTCTTCCACTTATTTATATTTTGATTCCTTGCTCTGTGCTTCTACCATGGGTTTCTTGGGACTGGCCAGCTGTCTCCTTACTCCCCATCAAACTATTTGGGCTGGCATCAGGATATCTGTGAGTTTCTGTTTTCTTATCTGCAAACTGCGGGTCTTAATAATCCCTTCCCTCACAGTGAGGAGTCAAAGAGACGATGTATATACACACCCTACAGACACCAAGTGCTTGCTGCCTGCCAGGTACAGTTCAATGCCGTATTTGGGTCACCTGACTGAATCTTCCCAGCAACTCTCTATGACACTGTTACTTTGCTTACTCCACTGAGGAGGAAACTAAGGCATGGGGAGATCATTCGACAAGGGAAAGGGTTGACAAGAGAATCTTGGTACTTGTAACTCCATAGCCTAGTTTTTAACCACTCTATTTGGGGGTGATGAGTGAGTACTCGGCAAATGGATGGCAGTGTGGTCTAGTGGTCAGGAGCACAGGCTTACGTCAGACTACCTGGGTTCAAATCCCAGCTCTACCACGTAGGCAAACTACTAAGCTCTCTGTACCTCAGTTTCCTTCTCTGTAAAATGGGGAGAACAGCGCATTTACTACACGGGCTTGCCATGCAGCAAACAACTGGATGTGCTTCAGCACACAGGAAGCACTGACTAAGCAGTGGGTGTTGTCTGTTATTACTTGGGAGGCTGACGTGCTGAGAATGCTCAGGGAGGCTGGATGTGGGAAGCAGTGGAGGCCTACCCTGGGGGGATGGTCCCGATGGCAGATGGGTCTTCATGTGGAGCAGATCCCCACAACAGAGACTCTGCTGGTCCTGGAAGAATAGAAGGTCCTGATGAAGAGAGGCAGCCTTTGGGAGGAGCAGCTCTGGTGCCTGGAAGGAGGGGGAGAACAGTCACCTTGGGGTGAAGATTGGAGAGGGCAGGGGGCAGATAAGTCATAGAGGACAGGCACTTACCTTCCCTGTGGGCAGCCCCAGTATGTGGCTCAGCGCTATGAGGCTAGAGCCCTTTGGGCACATGGGGTGCAGCTGGTGGATGGATGGTAGGATCGTGGGCAGGGGCTTCAACCTGGGGTGGGGGAAAGTCCAGATTGGATAGAACACTGAAAGGCAGGTTTGAGTTCTAGAAGTCTGGGGGCCTAAGAACTTGAAGGCAGACTAGATTGGGGCTGGTGACCTAAGGGTGAGGTCTGAGCAGCCTGCAAACATTGAAGCTACATTTTTTTAAGGAGGTGAAGGGAGTGACAGTCACCCATGGCAGGGGAGACAGGGATGGCCTCAGTCTTACCCTTCAGGGCTGTGCCGCAGCAGGGTGCCCAGCAGAATGTGGGGCAGATGTCGGGCTTCCTCCTCCAGACAGCGAAGCAGCTCCTGGCTCTGAGGTACCACGGCCTCAGAGGTGGGGACAATCTTCCGCTGAACCAAAGCCAGTACCTGTTGGGAGGGAGAAAGTGGATGGGCAGCTTGCTTCCACCCAGCCTCACCCCTAGCAGATTTAGTCCCCCATTCTACACCTTCCCCCACACCCATCTCACCTCTCCAGGACTGCGGCATAGGCGTGTCTTGCTGGCTGAGTTGCCCTTGATGAGCAGGCGGATCTGTTCCTGGGTTTCCTCCTGGGGAACCAAGATGCCCTTCAGAATAGCTGTGTATCCTTCCCTCCTCAGACCCTATGCAAAGGGTCCTGCTTCCTCTTGGGAGTTTCACCCTGAGCTTCCTCTCCACTGGCAGGCCCAGTTCCTGTTCACAGGCTCTAAGCCTCCAATCTGGCCCTCCACCAGCTCCAGGCCCTGCCTCTCACCACCAGCTGGCGCCAGTGCAGGATCCGCTGCTGCTTGGCCTGCAGCTCCCTCAGCAGAAGCTGCCTCTGCCCAGCTGCATCCTCCAGTTCCTTAATCTGGGCCCTCAGGGCCTTGAGCTCTGCCCACAGTCCACAGCATCTAAGTCCCAGTATTAGCACTTTCCTGGGGGACAAGCAGAGAAAGCAAAAGAGAGAAAGGGGACTGAGACCCACACTGGGAGGAAGAGATCCGCAGGGATGCACAAGGAACCACAAACACTGGGAGACAAAGTGTGAGGAAAGGGAGGCAGGGGCAGCCACAGAGGTAGGACATATCCCAGGTCTACAGATGCCAGGGAGAGAGATGGTCTAGAGGCCTCTGCTGGAGGAACCCCCTTACCTCTCACTGGATCCCAGGGTACGTCTCTCTATCTCCTCGACCAGGCCCTGGAGGTGGCCAGTCAGGATTTGACGCTCCTTCAGGAGAGCACCCCGCTGGGTAACAAGTGCACCCACAGTCTGCCAGCCCTCCTGGGGTGGGTACAAAGTTTGTGTGGGCATGATCCATGGGGATGAGGGGACTAAATAGGTCTTGGGAAGGTACCTAGGGTTACCTGGATTAGATGCCCCATGGATGGCAAGGCCTGGCTGGAATCTGACTGGTCCGGTGCCTGGGGACTGGGGTGGGAGCAAAGCTGCTCAGGGAACAGCCCTGTATCCTTGCCTTGGTACTTGGAGGGAGCCAGTGACACCCACCTGCCACAATGGCACTGGGCTGCAGTTCTACCCCATGCCTGTTCCTGACCCTGTCCCAACTCACCCACCCACATGCCTGCCCTGAATGTAGGAACATTGTACTCCTTACCTGGACAGCTCCATATCTCTGAGCCCATCCCCTCTGCACAAGGATCGAATCTCTGCTTCTCGCTCTGCGGCCAGGTACTCCAGGGCAGCCAGGACATGGCCTGGAGGGTGGTTTGTCAGTAGGGTCTGGTGGATAAAGGTGAAGTCAGGGCGGGGGCAGGCTTGCATGATGGGACCCCATGGGAATGAGGTAGGGATGAAGACTTATGAGCAGGCACCCGATATTTTCACAGGTCTGGAGGGTGTGGCCTTTCCTGATGGTCCTGCCATCTCACCTCCACTGAGCCAAGCCACTGCTGGTATGAAGTTCCAAAGTGGTCATCCTGAGGGCTTCTGTTGGGGTGGGTTAAAGGGATAGAGAATGTTATAAGACAAATCAAATACCTCTGTGATTATTACCACCCCATACTAAAGTAGGGACTGTCCCCATTTTACATATGAGGAAACTGAGCCCATGTAGGCATGCTA